TTCTCTTTTGCTACAGTGCACCGGGTCTCACATGGGATTTTAAAATTTTAAAATCTCATGTGGGGTCCGGTGTACTGTAGCAAAAGAGAGAGTGTGTGCTTGGAGTTATGGTTAGGGTATGTCCCTATCATTTTCCTTTTGAGTACTCGCTAGCATCATTAATTAGCCCAAAAGCAGGCTACAAATATATTATTTAATGTAAAATTGAAGACAACTAGCTCCCATTTTATTCTCCTAGATAACAATTCCTTTCCCTTAGGATGCATATAATTAGTAGCTGCACGCACCTTATTAAACCACTAATTTCCTTTTGACAAGCAATCACTCTAATTAATCGTTGTTTCTCCAACTGTTATACAATTCTAAACATATGATTTGGACTCTCCAATCACTCACCATTATGGCTCCAATTCATAATTATAGTCCTCTTACTGTCATTGGAATCTCGATAGCAACCCCCGGACCCTATTTAGTTGAATTTTAATGCAAGCTGTTAAAAGAAGAGGGAGCAGATATATGTAATTAAGGGAGATATCTTTTTAAGCTAGAATTAATAGGATGTACCATGCACTAACTAATAAGAAAACTAGAGTCTTAAACGCGTTTAACCATTTAATTACATTCTTCCATATATAAGTGGGGAATGAACGGATAGCAAGTAAAAACTAGCTAGGGATAAAACTTCTATGAGCCAAACTTTACGATACAAAATAATATCATAATATCCATGATATTACAGGTTAACTCATTTGAATTTTGCTCTCTTCCCTCAACTACGTCTCGATCGCCTTTCCATCAAGAAGGAAGCCGTGACCAAATCACTTAGGTAAGATATCACCATGTAGTGTAGTGTACTAGCATGTGTTTCTACGTATACATTTGTATATATAATCATCATATTTCTTTAAAGAAAAATGTCTTAAAGACCCAAAATATGGGACCAAGTAAGGGGACATGTGAGGTGTCCACTCCCTTCCAGCTCATTATGCAATAAAAGGGAGATATCTCACATGTCCCCTCCAACGATCCCATATTTTGTCTCCATGTAACAGCAGCGCTGTTCTTTAAAACAAATCGGCGTCCAATTCGGAAAAAAAAATAATAATAAAAAGTACAAGCCCCCTTTCCATTTGTTACGTTTGCTTCACATTTATCTATGAAGCATGTTCGTTTCTTTGTTTTCGGTAGTGGTGGGCCCCCCATGTTTACACTTGTATCGCGTTCTGATCGCACAGGTCTCGGTACCATGCGCGCGGTGACATGAGTAGGCAAAGGGCACCTACGCAATAAGCCAAAGGAGAGTGCAGTGGTGACTGCCAGCTC